AAGCGTGGCGGGCACGGGCGCGCAGGTGTACGTGATTGGCGTTGGCGCCTTTGATCCATTGCGCAACACGGTGGATGATCTGTCCACTTTGAATGCTTGGGCGCGCGAGTTTGCCACCACAGAGCCTGTGGCTCGCTGGTCCACAGCAACACTGGCCGTCATCCAGACCGTGTGCGACCGCTTCGACGGCTGAGATGAGTGCACGTTGTCGTGTTTATGTTGTGTGTGTCTGTGTGTGTTGTATGGTGTGTGTGCGTGCGTGTGTGTGTCTGTGTGTGTTGTATGGTGTGTGTGCGTGCGTGTGTGTGTCTGTGTGTGTTGTATGGTGTGTGTGCGTGCGTGTGTGTGTCTGTGTGTCTGTGTGTATGCTTCTTCAACTCGTATCATTTTTGTGGTTTGCTGTGCCAGCCTCTGCGACGTTGGATTGTATTCTTTGAAAATGATGAAACAAGACATCAACTAACAAGAGGAAGGAGAGGCTAGTGAAGAACACACACACACACACACACACACGTACACAACGCACACACACACACGTACACAACGCACACACACACACACTTCCACGCTCAAGCCCACATTGCGTCGACGACGGCCCTGACGGCGTTGTTGAACTTCTGTCGGTACGCGTGGATCTTTGCTTCGGACTCATCGTCCGCCTTTGGGTACACGCGATTGGTCAACAGGACCGTGATGATGCCGCGCTCAGGGTCGTTGCAAACCTCCGTGCCCGTGTACCCCGTGTGCGTGAATGTCGTGGAGGAGAGGTTGGCGCACCCACGGTACGTGTTCATCTGGTAGTTGTTCGTGTCCCAGCCGAGCGCGCGGCTGGACTGCGTCAGGTTGTAGGCCTAGCGGTGAGAGCCAAGAGTTGCGGTGAGCGTGGACGAGCATTGATTAAGTGTGGGTGAGAACAAGTGTGGGGAGGTTTGAACATGCACGCCTACACTTCAAAAAGGGCAAATGAACACACGCAAAGGGGCGATCAGTAGGAAGACGCTACTGTCTGAAAAACAAGCAACGCACACAAACACACACACATATATGTATACAAACACACACACACGCACAAACACACACACGCACAAACACACAAGCACACACACACACACGCACACACAAGCACGCACAAACACACACACACACACACACACACAAACACGCACCGTCGTGAACTTGTGTGCGGTGGTTTTGTTGACAAAGTCATCGCCGTGCTCTGCAAACAAAATGCGTCGCGTAAGGACAGCAATGTCGCCTGCGGTGCTGAACAGGCCCGCGTGCCCGGCAATGCCACCCAGGGCATAGGCGTTTTGGTCCGACACCTGTCCTTGGATGACGCGGTTGCGGTATCCAGGGCCCGGCGCATCTGGAGTTGTGTCGTTCCACGTCGGTACACAGTTGCCCCACCTGTGTGTGTGTGTGTGTGTGTGTGTGTGTGTGTGTGTGTGTGTGTGTGTGTGTGTGTGTGTGTGTGTGTGTGTGTGTGCATGTGTGTGTGAAACAAGGGACGTGATGCACACTTGCTTCACTGGGTGTAGCGTCAGCGAGCGTGACCTGCGCCCTTCACCAACAGAATCTTACTCGTTCTTTGGCGGAAGGAATCCCGTGTGATCAAGGTTCAGCCGCTCAATGACAAACTTGCGCACGTACGCCTGCAATTGATCAAAATGGTGTGCACAAAGAAAACGTGCAGTGTGCTCTCATTGGCAGGATGAAGGACGCACACACGCACGCACGCATTCACACACAAGCACACAAGCACACATTCACACACAAGCACGCATTCACACACACACACACTTATGCACGCGTTGGTGACCTCATAGTAGCACTGGTCGACGGGGTGGGCTGTGTCTGAGATGCTGCTCACGTCCACGCCGGCCAAGCAGTCCTGCACTCCCGCAGACAGCACGCACCAGCGAGTACACGTCATGATGCATTTCGTGACACGGATGCAATTCGCGTGAAATACACAACTCACGTCTCACATGTCACAACACACACACACACATATTCACAAATGTCTCACGTCACACCACACGCATCTCGCACATACGCATCGCGCAGTTCACATCACACACACACACACACACATACACACACACACATACACACACACACACACAAACATCTCACGTCATGTAACTTGCACGTGCTTACCGGTCTAACTTGGGCCTGCGAGATGTAGTTGAGACGGCGGGCCAGGGTGCCGACAACGTACATCATTGTGATCATCGACAGGTCTGGATATGTGATGACAGCGTGAGGATGATATCAATGACTCGTAAACGGCAATGCCATCACAACGCACAGCTGGTTAGCAGCAAAACTGTACAGCTCATGACACACACGTTCACACATACACACACACATGTTCACACACACACATGTTCCACACACACAAGACACACACACACACAAAACATGCATACACACACAAAACATGCATACACACACACCTGAGTAGACGTATTTCTTGCCGATGGGGTTCTCCAGCGTCTGCTTCATGAGGGCGGTGAAGATCTGCGATTGGCACGTGAACACCTCCGGCGGGTCGCGCTGCTGCGTTGCAGGACAAGCAAACGCCTTGGACCAGTACCCGGGGTACGGATCAGGCGGGTATCCCGAGTTGTGCAGGAGGAGGTTGAGGACCTTGATGGGGCCTTTTCCGTTTTGGGCGTAGGGAGCACCCAGCAGGCGATCGGACGACACAAGCTCGTCCAGCTGCAGCTCGCCACGCTGATAAAACGTCATCGTCGCTGTCGTAGTCGCCAACACCTTGGTTGATTCATATGGGCATTGTGCATGTGCATGTGTGTGTATGTGCGTGTGAGTGAGTGAGTGTGAGTGAGTGAGTGGATTGACGCGAAACGCACACAGTGAACAGTCTTCACAATGACGATGAAGTACAGAATGTGGCCGTGCCTTGCCGACTTGTTTGAGCGGTAATGCAATCGTGAAAGCACATGTGGACCGCAGCCTCCGTCTCAACAACAGCATACCTTTGTCAAGCTGGCAAGGTCAAACTTGGCGTCGGAGTGCATGGCTGGGTTGCCTTGGCTGAATGGCGGAGGAAGGCCGTAGGTGAATGCACCCACTGCGTTTGAGTACATGGTCGCTGTCTTGTTCACCACCAGTGCCACTGCGCCCGGGAACGCATGGTCCACGACACCGGCATGCAGGACATCCGACACGCTCGTCCAGGGATCTGCGCGATGCAACCGCGCAGGAACAGCTGATGTGGCCGGAACACCAGCCAGTGCAGCCAGCGCTCCAACCACCACAACAAGCAGCCCAAACATCTTCACACGACTTCTTGCTTGCTTGTTTGTCTTCGTTGTCGTCTCGACGAAAATTGTTCATATTTTCTGCGAACGTTCTACAACCACGACGAGCAAAAAGCAGGGAACGCTCACTGCCAACTGCTTGGTGCTTGTGGACACACACGACGACTGACCACCATGGAAGACAGCTTGTCAGAGTAAGTGGTGGCGTGGGTGTGTTGCGCGCGTTGTGTGGTTGACTTTGTGTACGATCTTGCTGCACGCTGCTTTTCCTCACAAGTTGTGCTTGGACCTCCTTCCCCAACTTGGTTTTCTCCCAATCAGTTTGAGCGGCCACGAGTTTGAGCTGGCCAAACGGCTGGATGCTCAGGATGCGGCGTACTTGGTGCCGTTCGAGGGCATGGACAGTAAGTTCACGAGGGTGCTGGTGGATGGCACGGTGGTTTGTACCTGTCTGCGAGTGTGTGTGTGTGTGTGTGTGTGTGCGTGTGTGTGTGTGTGTGTGTGTGTGTGTGTGTGTGTGTGTGTGTGGGTGTGGGTGTGGGTGTGGGTGTGTGTGTGCGTGTGTGTGTGTGCGTGTGTGGCGCGTGCTGAAGAGTGCGCGCACCTCTCACGTGAATACCACCTGTACAATGCCCATTGCCTGTTGCCCCACAGACTCGGGTGAGGAGATTTGCAAGGCGTTTCTGCAAGGCACGTGTACGCGAGGCAGTCTGTGTCCGTTTCGCCACACAAAGCCCACCCGCAACGTAGTTTGCAAGCATTGGATCAACGGCCTGTGCCGCAAGGGTGACAACTGCGACTTTTTGCACATCTACGACCTCTCCAAGATGCCCGAATGCCACTTTTTCCGAAACGACGGTACGCATTGGTGTATGTGTGTGAGCGCGCGTGTGAGCGCGCATGTGTGCGCGCGTGTGGAGCGTTTGTGTGCGCGTGCGTGCGTGCGTGCATATGCTGCAGCTACCATACAGTGCTTGTGTCGTGTGTCTCTCCGTCTTTGGAACGCTCATCTCACCAACGCAACAACAACACACACAATGCCGCACGATTGGATTGGCAGGGCACTGCGAGAAGGGCAAGGATTGTCTGTTCCTACACATTACACCAGAGCAGCGTCGTCGTGACTGCGCTTGGTACTGGCGCGGCTTCTGCAAAAACGGTGCGTGCGTGGGCGTTGTGGCTACTGCGCCCATGTTATATATTACCGCGTTTGGAGTGCTTTGCTTTCTGCATCTGCTATTGTGCTCGACCCAACGACAACGCTGAATCCACGCTTCCACGCCACCTACTTGCTTGAGCTTGTACGTGCGTATGCGTGTTCTCATGGGCTGTGTGCGTTCTGTTCTCTCATGCATTTTTCTTTCCTGTCCAGGCGCCAACTGTCGATTGCGGCACCGCAAGGCGGTTCTCTGCCCAAACTACCTCGTCGGGTTCTGCCCAAAGGGGCCAGACTGCCAACACATGCAGTGAGTTGTGTGGCCTGCGTGGCTTGTGGTGGCGCGTGTCGCTTGCATGGCTTCAGTCCTCAGTGCGGGCGCATGGTGTGTCCTCACCAGCCCCTCTCTGTCTGTCGCGCCTTCGTGTTACTGTCATGTTGCTGTCATGTTGATGTCATGTTGCTTCCCCTCATGCCACCACCACCGCCGTCACCACCGCAGCCCGCGCTGGGAGCTTCCGACCTCGAACGCCATCAATCCCAAGACAGGGAAACCAGACGACAAAATAGAAGGTCCGCACACACGCACACACACACACACGTTGCTGTTGTTGTTGTTGTTGTTGTTGTTGTTGTTGTTGTTGTTGTTGTTGTTGTTGTTGTTTATGTTGTTGTTGTTGTTTATGTTGTTGTTGTTGTTTATGTTGTTGTTGTTGTTTATGTTGTTGTTGTTGTTGCTGCTGTTGCGTGTATTTGTGTGACATTTTCAGTGTTCTGGTTGTGGTGTGTGCGTGCGATTGGATTAGCTGTTGCCAATCAGGCAGTGGTTTTGCACGTGCTCACTTTGAGTGCACATGTCACTGTGTCAGGTATGAGGCGCGGCCCACGACAGCAGCAGTCGGATCAGCCACAGTCACAACAGCTACCTCCAGGCTTTAATACCATGCGTCAGCAGCAACAACAGCAGCAACAACAACAGCAGCAGCAGCAAATGCAGCCGACACCGCCCATGCCACCTCCATTCTTCATGCAGCAACAACAGCAGCAACGACCTCCACGGCCACCGCCACCACAACAGCAGCTGCTGCAGCAGCAACAGATGCAACAACAGCGGCCACAGGCGTTTGCACCCAATATGCGACCGCCGTTCCCACCCACGTCTGGCGCCCCACCGCAGCAGCAGATGCCTCCGCGCCCACCCATGCCGCCACCTCAGCTCCGTCCCCCACAACAGCAGCAGCAGCAGCAGCCATGGCGACCGCCACCCATGTCACAACACGGGTTTCCGCCCAGCAGCCAGCAGCAGCCTGCCCGGCCTGGCCTGATGGCGCCACCGCCACGCCCAGGATTCTTCCCGCAACGGGTGAGCGCAACGGGGCGGTGGTGGTAATGCTGTGGTGGTGGTGGTGGTGGAGCAGTGATGGCGGCGGCGGTGGTGGTAGTGTCGTTCTCCTTTTATTGTGTGTGTGTGTGTGTGTGTGTGTGTGTGTGTGTGTGTGTGTGTGTGTGTGTGTGTGTGTGGTGCATCGCGCCTTACTGCCGTCGCAAATTGGAGAGGCGTTACCCTCACTCACTGCCAAACCACTGCCATTACCATTGCTGCCAACAGATGCCGATGAGCCAGGGCCCGCGCATGATGCCGCCATTCTCCATGGGCCCGCCACCACACTTCCAACAACAACAACAGCAGCACCAGCAACAGTTCCCTCGACCACCCATGCCACCACCAGGGCGCAGATGACCACGGTGCAGCGCACACACACAGGCACAGTTTATGCTTGTTCTTCCTCGTTGAGCTTGTGTGATGGGTGGATCATGTGTGCAGATAATAAACAGATTCATGCCAATGAATGCAATGAGAAAGAGAAACCAGCGACGAACGAAAGGTGCAGTGAAGGACACCGAGCGAAGCGAAGAGACAGAAAAAAAAACACACACGTCCTCCTCACAGAGGATGACATCAGTGAGCGGAAAAAATAAGTTTTCATCACCGGCACACATTCAAAACCACCCGAAATATGCGTCAATCGCTTCCATTTTCCGTTGGCTGTCCCACGCACAACAGAGAACGAAGACAGCAAACCTCAGAGCGCAAGCACAGAACCATCTTTTCCTGTTACCTCCGGGATTGCCGATTATTCACATTGATGCCAACGACTTTCTGCATCCAAGATGGCGCAGCGCAGATCGGCCACCGCAGCAGGCAGCACTGACGGAACACCGCCGTGTGTCAAGAAGAAAGAAGGCCGATTGTACACCGGGAGCCTTGACAATGAGGAGTACGACGCCTTCAAGAAGTGGCTCAAGAAGCAGCGCAAGGAAAACTCCAGGACGCTGACGGTGGACGCAAAGCTGGACATCGTCGCCGTGCAGGCGTACTTTCGCCATGAGAAGTTTGTCAACGCGAACAAGTCAGGGAGGCCCAAGCAGTATCGGTTCACGGCACTCGCAAAGAACGTCCTTCAGCGCAGCACAGACGTCTGTCAACAAGCATGGAAGGACTACGAGCGCGCGCAAGCGGTGTCAGTCGCAGACAACGACGGGCCACGCGGGACCAAGACGACGAAGTTCAAGCGCACTGAGGCATTGCGTGTGAAGCTGCAGAACTGGTTGTACGAGCGCACTGTCAAGGGCAACCGAACTGTGGCAAAGGACGTGCTCGGCTTCTTCTGCTCCTCCGGTGTGCTGCCGATGTACTCTGATCCCACTTCGAAAGCGAACGCCCTGAGAGCTGTGCAACGATACCTGGAGTCCCTTGGCTACGAGAGAGGTCAGCGAGGCGGTTGCACCACCTACATGGAGAAGGAGGAGGTGCTGATCAAACGAGACGCGTACATCACCCAGATGATCAAGGCCCGACAGCAGCGGCGACGCATTGTCTACCTCGACGAGAGCTACATACACCACCACTACCGCCGGCATGATGAGTCGCTGTACGACCCCGGTGATAACCGCCTGCTCCCCAAGCAAAAGCACAAAGGCCGGCGCTTCTGTTTCATCGCGGCAATCATCTCAAGCGACCCTGCAGTACCAGAAGCAGAGCGATCCGAGGAACATCGTGCACAGCTGTTACCCGAGACGCTGGACATCTTTGAGGGGGGCAAGAAGCAGAGTGGCAAGGCGCAGACCAAAGACTACCATGGCATGTTTGACAGTGCGTACTTTGAGCGCTGGATGCAGACGCTGCTCGCCACGCTCGACGCCCGTGGCATCAAAAACACCATCATTGTCATGGACAACGCCAAGTACCACAAGTCACTCCCAGCGGACACGCCCAAGCAATCATGGAAGAAGGCAGCCATGGTCGAGGCCTGCACGGCGCGCGGCCTGCCAGTATCCGACACCGACACTCGGGCCTTGCTGTGGGCCAGGCTGCGCGACCACATTGCACAAACAGTCAAGCCCGTCGTCGTGCAAATGGCAGAGGACGCTGGGCACGAGGTGCTGTGGACACCGCCGCATTACTCCGACCTTCAGCCCATCGAGATTGTTTGGGCAAACGTGAAAGGAGACGTTGGTCGACAGTACAACTACGACACAACGTTCAAGGACGTGCGCCAGCGGTTGGACGAGGCGTTTGCAACCCTGACACCGAAGACAGTTGAGGGATGCATTGCAAAAGCAAATGCTCGGCTGGATGAGCTTTACAGGCAGATCACGAGCCTCGATGAGGTGGATGAGGAGGCAATCGATGATGGGGTGTTCGATGACGGGCAGCGTGATGATGATGATGAGAATATGGAAGAGGTCGATGTTGTGAACGAGGACAAAGACAAGGACAGTGACGAGGACAGTGACGAGGACGACGATGAGGGTGAACATGAAGACGAGGATTAGTGTGAGTGGTTTGCCTGTTGTGTGGTTCATTGTGACTTGGTGGGTGGATGTGGGGTGGGGTGCCGTAGTCAATTGTGCTGAGGGAAAGGGGGTTTTTAGCGTGTTCTCTGTGGTCGAGAACGGCGAAATAAATCGTCAAACACGTTAATGTGATTTTCCGCTCACTGATGTCATCCTCTGTAAGCGCATATGCAAGCGAGGGTACATGACACGTGATGGAGTGCTTGCTTGGCGTCGTGTGTGTGTGTGTGTGTGTGTGTGTGTGTGTGTTTGTGTGTGGTAGATTCTCTTCTGTGGTCGACGGAATAGTAAATGGCAGTGGTCGTGTATTGATGATGATGATGATGATGATGATCTGAACATGTTGCAGATGATGAAACCAACCCGCAGACACACATACACACTAACACACTACACAACACACCCACACCCACACCCACACCCACACCCACCCACACACCCACACTCAGACACACTCAGACACCCTCAGACACACGCACTAAACACAACATGGAGCTACGCGGCGGTCCCCTTTGTTTGTTCTGCGGATGCGAGTATGCGATCCCACTTGACTAACTGGTCCGAGAGGATCAGGACGACGTTGTTGGAGGCCTGCAGCAGCGAAAACACCCGGT